GAGAAAGAGGAGAAGATGAAACGTCCATCCTCCAAGGGCTCACTAGCTAGTAGGAAGACAGAGACACCATTCAAATGGAAGCACCAGCCAGGTCAATGGCAAAGAGGCCAGGGAGAGTATCTTCAGCATGCAAGCCTCTAGGATGGTCTTCAGCGGGGCTGCAATTATCCGAGAGGGTGCTGAGGCTGGTTGGGGTAAGCCTGAGAGGGAAGGCCTTCCCCCTGAAGCAGCTGGTGATGGTTAAACAGAAAGCACATCCTAGACCTGCAGACACGTGGACACAGATCACGAACACAGGGGATGTGCGATGTTGTCTGAGGGGACACTAACGGTGTGACAGAAGTGTCCACCAAAGCCACAGCAAAGGAGCCAGAGGCTGGAAGAGCCAGCAGATCCAATGAGAGGGGTTCAAGAATGAAGGTGTGCCAAACAGGGGAAAAAGTAGGAGAAAAAGCTTACCTGCAGTTAAAGGAAGGCACATTTTAAATAACTGCCCATTATATTGGCAAATGTTAAAAATTATAAAGTTGAGTTTTACTAGATGAAAACAGTCCTGGAGATGGATGGTGGTGATGGGAATGTTAAAAATTATAAAGTTGAGTTTTACTAGATGAAGAGAGTCCTAGAGATGGATGGTGGTGATGGGTGCAGAACATTAGGAATGTTTTCAATGCCATGAACTACACACTTAAAATGGCATAGATGGTAAGTCTTATGTGTATTTTACTATAATAAACATTTTGAGGAAAAAAAAAGGTACAAAGTTGAGTGTTGGCAAGAGTGCTGGAAAACAGGTCACTGTCCTAGTCCTGTCAGTGGTCAGGTAAACTGAGTCAACCTCAGTGGAGGGCAACTTGGCAGCATGAACTAAAAGCCCTAAAAAGTAGCTGTTAGGCCGGGCACAGTGGCTCATACCTGTAATCCCAGCACTTTGGGAGGCTAAGGCAGGTGGATCACGAGGTCAGGAGATCGAGACCATCCTGGCTAACAAAGTGAAACCCTGCCTCTACCAAAAATACAAAAATTAGCCAGGCGTGGTGGCACATGCCCGTAGTCCCAGCTACTCAGGAGGCTGAGGCAGGAGAATCACTTGAACCTGGGAGGCGGAGGTTGCAGTGAGCCGAGATCGCGCCACCACACT